GTAATTTTGGCTGTTTCGAGCGCTGTTGGTCTTCAACTCGTTTCGTTAACGAAATATTCTTTCATACATTCACTTTAGTTAGAAAGATAAAAGGCTGAGATACGACGAATCAGCGCTTGATAACAAGAATTTCATGTGCTTCACGTTTGCTGAAATGATCTCAAAAACGAAGAGAAACAAACCTAAAAACTGTGTATTTATTTTGAACTTCTGCGTTGTAAATTAATCCAAACCTGTTCAAAAGAGTTTAAGATAAATTTGGCCACTTTTTTTTGTTTATGTTGTGCTCATCAATTAACGCAAATCAACTTAACAAGACGAGAAAATAAAATTTTAATTTTGCTGAAATCTAGATTTATAAAATTCAAGTTCTAGAATATCTTAGATAAGAAAGTAAGTCTTTATTTACATACGAAACGAATGAGCTGGGCAAATATTCAATTCACTTTCTTTTGTCACAATTTCAGATACATTTGTCTACTTTGTGTTTTAATTGAGCAATTATTTAGATAAAATTGTATCAAATTTCTATGAAATTCTTTTGAATATGAGAAGCACGTTTTTTTGTATTCATTTTCTATGAAGATATTTGAAAAAAATGCGATACATATAAAAATTCCAAAACGTACAACATCAACATTTTCGATATCGAATTGATAGCAAATCATTTCTAAAATTATTTTTAGTAGAATAAAAATTTTGATTCGCTTCCTGAGATCGACTGCCATTCTTACTCTATCATAATAAAATGTATAAAAATACTAACACACATTTAGGAATGGTCTTTTAATCTGCGGTTAATTTTAATCGGAGGTTAACATCTGTTATCCGAGCGACTAACCGTCTACTTTTCCCAATTTTAACCGGAAAATCGATAATTATATTAATAAAACGGACATTATTCCTACCTAGCTGATTTGATTAGGTTAATCAATGATCTGATGGATTTTGAAACATTTTCTTTAATTTGACGTTAAGATTAGGGGAATAAAAAGAGTAGACAATCACTAGGTTAAGCTGACAACATTAGGTAATAAAGAATACTAGTTCTACTATTACAACTACTACTACTATATCTTCATAAAGAAAATATTTTTACATTAATAATAATTTGAAGATTGTTCACCAAATGGTACATTGAAATAATAAATAAATAAGTAAATTAATGAAAATGAATTCCTTTCTCATTAAAATTAAAAAATAAGCATATGCTCAATTAAAACACTCAATTTAATTTAATATATTAAAAGTATTAAAGTAATTTTGAGAATAAATGGTTTTGTAATTTATGTTATCATCGGCAGTAAACCTGAGTGAAAAAATCCTGCATAGAAGCATTAGATAACCAAAGTTTCTTAATCAGTGGTTAAAAAATTCAACAATTAATTATCCAGTGATTTAGCAGGACGCGAAAAGACCAGATCTTAATACATTCTAAAATAATTGAAAAATGTAGATACTATATTGTGTGATAGATCCGATTCGGAAAGTATTGCCGTCATTTACAAGTATAATACGTCATTTCGGTTAAAACGTATTGTATTACTTGCTGAAGTTTATCAAGTCAACATTTTCAATTCTATATTTAGATACAGTCCTAAATATTTACATTTTCTGGATATTAACGAAAGTCAGCTAATTTGGCAAACACTTAAATTTTAAAAGTTATGCGTTAATTACTGGCTATTATTGAGATTCATTGATCTTATGAATTTCAATGTTACATTTCGAGGAAGATAAAGAATTATCTCATAAAGTAACTAGTAAGAAACAATAATACATTTTCTCTGTGAATGCCCAGCTCTACCATCCAGAAGATATAGGTTCTTAGGAAAATACTTTTGTGATAGTTTATCAGACTGCTCAATGGTGAAGATGAAAGACCTATTAAATTACCTAAATTCAGTGGGATGGATTTAGTCTCTACTCTTCTATACTAGGGTTCTTGCGAGGAATGTGATAACAAAACGGCGAAAAATCGCTAATTGAGGTACATTTGAAGTTATCTTATGACCTGCCACTGCAACCAACCAACCAACCAACTAGTAAGTAAATTAGTTTATGTGTTATATTATTGATGTTATTTTACCATAACTATTCACGCTAGAAGGTTGTACCCTGATTAACCATTGTTGTTGCAGTTGTAATATATATAATAAAAGTGCACTGCTTATTACCAAACTTAGTTTACCTTCTGCTTAATGCCAATTTATCTATCTAAAACAGTGATTCCCAACTGTTTTTTGACCAAAGCCCACTATGATATTTTTGTTTTTCGTCGGGACCACAAAGTTTAAGAATAATAAACTGTATGATTATTTTAATATGCTTTATGTATCTCTGGTATAATGCATAATGAGTTGTATACGTGCATAGGTACATTAAACAGGCTATTAAATAGGTATATAAATATTTGGAAATCTTTTGTGCGATCACGGACTATTTTTTATTTTCCTATCAAAATAGAAAATTTTACCTATTCATAAACCGTTTTTAATTATTTCGCGGACCACCGGTTGGGAACCACTGATCTAGAACTATAATTTTTAAACTGTTTAAATAATTTTTTTAATTTCTGCAGTAAATAGAGTAAACAGGGTACTTAATAGGTTCTCCGATCTAAACGAACTGATCACAAAAGGAAAATACATTTTAGCCATTTATATCATTACTTTACTTATACGAAACTTGTTAATAAAAAGGTATTCAATTCAGTTTCGAATTTTATTAGGATCTCATTAAAATCACTTGATTCATTGATTTTAAAGATTCCTGCTTGCCCCAAAAACTTTGCTTTCATAAATATTTGAAAAGTATTTACCTAATCAAGAAAATTTTGTGGTACATATAATATGCCTAATCAGTAACTGTTTCTGGGTGCTATAAGTTGCTGAGTCTAAAAAAACGGCAGTTTTTGATTTTAATTATTGGATTGCGAATTATAAATTGGAATGATCCATGGAATGTGAGTAAAGTTACTACGATTTGTGCGCTAATGTAAAAATTCTACTATAATACAAGGGAGTAGAAAGAAGAAAAATAGAAATGTTTCTGTAAAATAGTATTACGTTTTTTCCATCCTTTTCACGCTAAAAGGTTGTAGGAGGATTTGAATGTGACAAATTCTAGTTTAACAGAAACAACTTCAGAAGCTTCAGCAGTTAATAAACATTAATTTTCGTAGTGTATTTTGTACTCTTATGATGCCTAAAAATCTCATGTCACTATATTTAAACACAATAATTTCTGAAACCGTTCGGATACAATACATACAATTACAAATTTTAGGTGCCCTACAACACTCAGCAGATACCATTCCCTTTCTCATAATTAGCTTACCACTAACACCATAATCCTCGGAGACGCAGATAAATAAAACAAATTCCATCCCACTGAGTTAATCTATTTAGAGAAGTCTTACCTTCTCAAAAAACCTGTTCCTATGATAGCCTGGCTAGGCAATCCAAGATAAAATACTTAATTGCTTCTTTTTTGTGTAAGTCTTCACAGTTTTTACAACGTGTGCCTAGACTGAAGTATTATATATAATATAATTTAAGTATTTAAAATTAAGTGATTGTCAACAGAGATTCACAACAGCTTTTCATTTTTATTATTTTTATAATTTCTGTCGATACTTTCTGAATGCTGTTGTTGAACCCTCTGATCGCACGCGTTGATTGAAGAAGAAGGACTTAGACGTAGTCGATGATAATTAAAGTACATTTTATATTGCAATTTAAATACAGTTCTTAAAGCTATATCTGATATAAATTAAAATAAACAAGTAATTGTTGTAATCACAATTTGTAGACTGTTATTATTGGTGTTGAAAAGACAAAAAAAGGAATAACAAAAAAAAAGAAACTTAAGAACTATATAAGTAATGTTTTGTATGATAGTTATTAATTAAAAAAATAAATATTTTTTAAATAAATTAAATAATAGGAAAAGCATAAAAAAATATAGAATTTTAGAACTTCAGTTTTTTACTTGGATTGCTCTACTATTGCTGTTTTATAACCTTCGGCATGAAGTTCTCATACAATATTACGTCAATATACAAATATGTTAATAATATGTTAATTTCTCTTTTATTATTAAAAAATCCACCAATACGAAGGTTAATCTACTTCGTAATAGAAACATTTTCAATGTCTGACTAATTGCTTTAGTGAATGCTATTTCATCCAAAAGTTTGGTCCTGCGATTTTGTCGCCATCGTGATCAACTGAATAGGCTATATATTGAGTTAGGTTTTTGTTAATGGCAGCTTACAATTTCCAGTCTTGCATTGCATAGTTTCAATGAAAATTAATTAAATTAAGAATTTGGTTTTAATTTTATAATGTTAATAATTATAAAAATATTTCGTTGATTTTTAAAAAGAAATCGAATATAAAAGTTCTTAATTTATATAATACTACTATACTCAGCTTGTTTAATGTTTACTTTTGGAAATTTATACATTATTTTTTTTTTATTTTTTGTTTAAATATATTCGTTGATTGGTTTAATGGTTTATTATTATAAAGAGATCCCCGATTAGATTATATTTTTAATATTTATTTTACTTATTTATTTTTGATGATTAGTTTATTGATCCATTATCATAAAGAAACCTCTTATTGATTTTTCTAATAATTTTTTTTCTCATAACAAAAAAAAAATTTTCTAATTATAAAATTTAATTAAACACAGAACAAACCGAACATTAACAGAACAATAAAATCTTTTTTATAAAGAGATATAATAACATACGTATAAATATTGTAAAAACTTTTGGATTTTTAATTTTAAAATTGTATTTTTAGCATTTGGAGGATTTCGCTAAAATGCTTGTGAATGCAATTCGAGCATTTAATTAAGTTCTGGCAGTGATGAGCACATATTCCACACACAAACTAAAAATATAAAAAATTTATGAGAATTTTGTTTACAAACAACTTAGCCAACTTAACCAAGCCAATTAACATAAAATATTGTTTTCCTCTTTCAAGGTGTGGTGAACGCAATGATGAGTCACGAATTGTTGGCGGCCAAACTGCAGGAGTCAGTGAATATCCGTGGATGGCGCGTTTAAGTTACTTCAATCGCTTCTATTGCGGTGGAACGCTGATCAATGATCGCTACGTGTTAACAGCTGCTCATTGCGTTAAAGGCTTTATGTGGTTCATGATCAAGGTCACGTTCGGTGAACACGATCGTTGCAACGATAAGGAACGCCCCGAAACACGATTTGTATTGCGCGCCTTTAGCCAGAAGTTCAGCTTTTCTAATTTCGATAATGACATTGCGCTATTGCGTCTCAATGATCGTGTGCCCATAACAAGTTTTATCCGACCCATTTGCTTGCCACGCCCAATTGAACGCAGTGATTTATTTGTTGGTACAAAAGCAATTGCTACAGGTTGGGGCACTCTAAAAGAAGACGGTAAACCCTCATGTTTATTGCAAGAAGTCGAAGTGCCAGTACTGGACAATGACATCTGTGTAGCTCAAACGAATTACACTCAAAAAATGATCACTAAGAATATGATGTGTGCTGGTTATCCTGGTAAAGGTGAACGCGACTCTTGTCAAGGTGATTCTGGTGGTCCGTTAGTTCGCATGAGACCTGATGATAAGCGTTTCGAACAGATTGGCATTGTGTCGTGGGGAAATGGTTGCGCAAGACCTAACTATCCAGGTGTATACACTCGAGTAACGAAATATTTAGACTGGATAATGGAAAATTCTAAGGATGGTTGTTTTTGTGACGAAGATTTTTAAATATATTAAGAAAAAATATTTTAATTTATATTTAAAAAAATGGAATTTAAAGGTTTGCCACATTAAATTTAAATTTTAGTCCTTTTTGTATTTTTATAAAATAAAATTGAATAAATTAAGTAAAAAAGACTAATTTTATTTAAGAATAGATGAGAAACTTATAAATCTTTTATAAATATTGCAAAGTTAGTTATATAAAAGTTCGGAATAATGACAGAAAATGAACTGGAATTTAATATAAGAATTACTTTTTGAGATCATATTTTTATTAAAAAATGTTTTTAAACAAATACAAGCGATACTTTTAACAATTTTTATGTAACACAAATTTTTATTTTTTTAATCCAATGTTTTTAAATTAAAAATTATGAAGAGGACTATAAACAATGATTATACCTTGTGATTAAAAAATTACTTTAATTTTTAATTTTTTTTAAAAACAATTTTGTTATTTTTTTTTTTTATATACGGGCTTAACAGTTAAATAATGATCTTTTAAAAAATATTTGTTTTTAAAGATTTTATTTTTACCAATTTTTCGACTATAATCTGTAGTCATCATCAGGGACCGAAAATATTTCGACTTTTTGTATAGACGCCAAACAAAAACTAATCTAAGATATACGTTAATCTTTGACAGAATGTGTATAATAGTGTTGCCAGAGTGAAAATAGAAAAGATTTATCGATTGGATAAGCGCAGGAATTCAAAAATAGGGCTCTCGTTCTTTTTTGATCAGAAGGTATAATTAATTATATCAACAGTGTTAATTTGAATTTGATTTGATAATTTAATTATATGAGAATAAATATTTCAAAGTCTATGAAATAAATATTTAAAGATCTCACGTATTAAACGTTGTAACAACCTGTTGTTGGTTGTCCTCAACCAATTGATCAAACCTAAGAAATTGGTCTACCTTTATGAAAAGAATATGATAGATATGAGCAGTGGAATCAAAAGTGATGTTTATAATCTTCGTATCATGTTGTACCAGGAGTAATGGCATTCACATCGAGCATCGTGCTTTTGTAGGAAGACATAGAGCAGCTATTAAGAATATGGCCGACAGCTTTTTGTAGGTTGGCCACATGATTCGGATGGGGTCATTTATGTTATTACACATTGAGTTATTATATAATAGTTAATACTAATGAATGTGATAAATTAAGTCGAAGTGGATTGAAGGTTTGAAAAAACTGATTTTGGGTACAAAAGAAAAGGACCACTGGAAGAATATTTTTGTTATATTAATTGGAACTGTTTTTCATTAAAATAAAGAATAAGACAACATTGAAAAACTACTTAAAAAGAACTACCTAAAAACATTTATTATATAATAAATAATCTATAATAAATAATTAGAATCATTTATATTATAGATTCATATTATTTTGTATATTAAATAATCTCATTTATATATAACACTAAACGCTAATTATCAGCATTTAAAATTTTGATTCATGATTTGTAGAGTTTTTGTATATCGCCAAGGTTAACTCATCATTTTGACGTTTAATGAATTATCATTACACAAAAAGGTAATTATCCAAAAAATTAAATTCACTTTCATTTTGAATTTGAAATTGAATTTCATTTTCGTTTTCAACCGAGCGGTTATAACGAAATCTACTGCGAGCAGACGTTGTCTGGCTTGTACGGAACGCAGGTGCTTATCCATAGATCCCAACAACAACAAAATGTGTAATTAAAATTTGTAGAAGCCAGACTTCATGTGAAATCAAATAAAAGTGAAGTATCATTATGATGATGACGATGATAAGTACCCTATAATAAGCATACAAATAAAAAAAAATGTTTGTGGAGAAATGCTTCAAATTATTCATAAAGAAAATAGCGAATTGAAAAAATGCTTCGAAAAGACGATGTTAGAATACAAGATAAAAAATTACTGAAAATATTAAAATATCCATAATGTTGTGAAAATATTTCAAATTTCAGAAAGACATATAAATATTTGAAAAACAATTAAATATCGTTTTCTTTACTTTTCAACATGTCAATGCCTTTGAACATTTAACATGCGATCATTTGCACAAATAAAATGTGATCTGTATTTTCATAGCTGCGAAAGTCCACAAATTATCTCCAAGCTCTTTTTACCAATCTGGTTCTTTGATACTCTGAACGTTTCATTCTATGAATACTTGGAGCGCTTTAAATTCATTTTACATTATCTCTTTTGGTGTACATCCCTTTACAAGGGATGCCAATTTAAAACGATGCGATATATGCGAAAAAAACGATGCGCTTTACTATTTCTTCGAAGCGCATTAATAGCGCTATTAAACTGATTGGTTGACCTCCGAAAATAACATACATTGTACAACCATTATAAGACCAATAAGAATCGGTGCGACAATGTTTTCCCTAGAGTTATCTATTATATCGAAGTGTGGAATATCATATACATATATAATGTACATTGCTTTAAGACGAAGCTAACCATTAACAGTGTTAATTCATCCCTTAATAAAATTCCTTTTTCAAATCATTACAGTGATTGCAATAATTACTGTTAACATCAAAAAAATAGAATAAAAAAGTAGATACACTCAGAAAAGAAAAAGGTAATGTTCTCTCCAGAAATTCTGCAGAAATCATTCCTGACATTATCTGTTTAAAAAGAAATAACTTGAAAATAAGCAGAAATATAATTAATTTTAATCATACATGTAGTCATATATATTAATTTTATCTGTAGCCAGATCACCTGATATATAAATGATAATATATATATATACATATGTAAGAGCCCATCTATTATGTACCATTCATGTACAGTCTTGGATTGAAAGCAGGCATGACTATGTAACGTTATATATAATGATTTAACTATATGCGATACTGTTAGCCTACTGTTCTAACTCCAATTGACCTACCCGATTCTTGACTTTCTCAACTTTTTTTCTGAAGAATTTTAGCAGCTTAGATGGCGACCGACCAGGTCTTAATTTAATAATTTTATTCAACTGAATATATGTATGTTATGTATATTTATATTGATCACTTAGCTATAAATTTGTAAGCAATTTATAAAATTAAGATGTTATATTATGCTAATTGGTCAATTACTTTTAATTATTGTTATAAATAAAACTTAGAAAAATAACTTAAATTATTTTACATCTTCATTAAGTATTAATCATATTTATGTTTTTTCTGAACAGTTTAGACTAAAGTCGATATATTAAAAATAAAATAAAAATTAATGTATAATAATTTGTTGTTTTTTTATCATTTTTATTTATAACAATAATTTGAAGCAATGGTCATTTGCTAATATTGGCTAATTGGCTAATATAACACTTAATTATATTAATTAATTATATTATCTCGCATACTTGCGAGATGAGCCATACTCCAAATTTTGATGAAGTACAGAGCATTAACAAAGAGACAAATTATAGACGTAGACTAATGCTGGAAATGTTACACATTATTGATGTTCCGGATAATCAGAGACAACTACAAAAAAGAGATAGAGAGTCTTACACAAATCTATAGTTCTCTGATCAATTATAGCAGAAAAATATAATATATAGGAGTAACTAATAAATTTAACATCAAATTTCCTCTTCCATTGTTTGTTCAATTAGTCTTGTTTTTTAATTTTAATTTTTTGTTTGTTTTTTCTGAATTGTCAAGCATTGAAAGAAACAACAACGTTTGGCATTTTTAGTTTTTTTGTTAAGATATACATATGTATATATTTTTATTTACATGTAAGTAACTTTTTTTTTGCTTATTCTATACCGAAGATGGTCTACCGAAACATTTTTTATAAAAATTAATATATAATTAATATTTTTCAATAATTTTTTATAGTTTTATGTGTTAAATAAACGGCCTATACCCGGTTGTAATAATAATTAATTAACAATTATATATTATATGCGTAAGAAAAATTAGTTTAAAAACACTTTAATGAATTAGGGATCTTTCTTGACACGCAACCCTTTTAAATAAATATCTTTAAAAAAAAATTATTCTTTTGCGAGGCTTTTAAAAGACAAGAAATACAACAGACAAAAACAAAAATAATAAATGCTTTAAGATATCACAAGTCGCTCTTAAATGTGTAGAGCTTTTGCCCAAGTGGACCATCTAGAGGTTCGCAACAACAATTTGCTTTAGCAAATCAACACAATCCACAGTTTTTTAATGGTATATACTTTGTTATAAAATTTTGTTAAAGCAGTAAATGCATTTAGAATTGTTGTTTTTAAGACGGCTTCGATAAGCCGTGATTAAAAGTGATTTGATGCAAATCTGTTTTTGTAAAAATATATGAATAGAAGAAAATATTTACCTATTTATTTAATAAAATAAAACAATGTTAAAAGAAGTAATATATGTATGTATGTGCCATACATACGTATATGTATGTATATGTATTTCATGCTATTGAAATTTATTGAACATAATTTTGTTTTTGCATTTTGGCGAATCACTTTCAAAATATATTTTAATTGTTGCTATTTTTTTGTTTACTTATTTTGATAGCCACAGTGTTTTATATACTTCGCAAATCTTATATAGTATGAAAACACTTTAATAAGATAGGGGTCTTGCTGGATACGCGACCCTTTTAAGTAAATTTCTTAAAAAAACAAAATCATTTTTTTGCAAACCTTTTTTAAAAGAAAAGCAATACAACTGAGCAAGACATTTTGCTTAAGAAATGAGACAAAAATATTTTTATGTTAGGCAAATGACATTTATGGAGCTTGATCGTTATTGAATTAGTAAACGAAAGAGTATGAGGCGAATACTTACAAAAGCTGTTTAGCTGGCGTATTGTTTTTGTATGGAACACATGAGAATTAATGAAGCTTTCAAGCACCAACAGCATCCAGTCAAGAAAAAAAAAGCATTAGCGCCAAAAACAACAACACGCAAGGTAAGGCAACTTAAAATACAATAATATTTTGATGAATGACGTATTGTTGACACACATACTCACACAAAATATGAATTGTTCGCTGCTGTTGATTTGTGTATTTATAAATTTCTTATTTATTTTTTGCTATTTGCCTTTATGCACTACAAATAATGTCTGCATGTACGTTTGGATGTATGTATGTGCGTTTGTGTTCCACTGAGAATGAACTGATAACGAGAAGCAGACTGCACACACGAGACTTTTTTAACTGGAAATTTGGAATTTAAAGTAAAATTACACTTGGGATTTTTTTATGATTTTGCTTGTTTTTCATAATCGTTTTGCAATCGAACTTTTTGCTTGGCTTATTACTTTTGTTGTTGCACTCCAGCGTGTTTAATACGAAGTCATTTCGCTGCTTTATTGTTTGGTTTTTTATGGAATTTAGTGGTTTTATGCGACGTCTCAAAGTAAACAAAAGTCTATTGTTTTCATTGCTTAGATGCGTTCACAGAGGCACCGCCGAACATCTCAAGTCGAAAAGATAATATTTACAAATCACGAATTCGCACATGCCGCGTAAAAACGTCCAACGAAGTTACACGAGGTTACACGGCTTTTTACGTTCGTCGGCAAACGGTTTTCACCTTTAAGATTTCTTCTGGCGCAAATTAATAACAAAAAAGTTAGCTCGAAAAAATAATTGCTAATGTGATTTTCCGTAATATTTCGTATAGATAAAATTCAATCAGCTTGTGGGCTTGCGTTCAGTGTTGTTGGAACCACAGCTGCTACTATTGTACCGTTGTCGTGAAGTTTGCTTGCTCACTGAGCGTCTAGTCGCAATGATCGGAGCGTTTAGTATCAGCGTCGTGCTCTAAGTCGATGCAGCAACATCAGCATCAGCAAGAGCAGACGTGTTCTGCTCCTCCTCCGCTCGTTACCATTTGGACTGTTACCGGCCGCAATCTTGGAGATATCAAGTACGTACTGCACAAGTAAAAAAATTTCCACTTCACTGAGTATAAATCTTCTTTACTACGAAGCTCGTATGCGGCTGCGAATTCGTCGTTGGGTGCTATTTCCCAACGCGAACGTAGCTTTTCTAGTCAGTCGAAAAGTATCTCGTCTTGCCAACAGTGCTGCTCTGGACGCTGCTCGCTTTCCACAGCTGCTTTTAGCCGAATCGAATGGAGATACTACGTGATTTATGTGACTATAGACAGGCACCGAAACTTTATATTGAACGACGAATTTGAAAACTAAAAACAATAAAAAGAAAAAATTAATGAACTCTTGATCATAAACCGAGATATTACCCAATATTATGAAAATATCTAAATATGTCTAAAATGTTGAAATTTGTTTAATGAATTAATTGAAATACTAACTTGATCGTAAACATACCCTTCACACAATTATGAATGAAAAGGTATATGTATTAAGTTCATAAAGATGTTTGTAACGCCGAAAGTAATTTATTTTCATAAGGAAAAAGCATCAAAACCCACCGTGTGGAGTCGATATCCCATTAAAACCTAGAAAAAATTACAGATAAATTATTATTTATCTTATTTCTAGAAAGGAATAATGCAGCATAACTTTAAAAACACTCAAAACCTGAAGATACTTTGTATTGCGAGTCGCATTCATATTACAAACATTTTCGGCTACTTTAGAGGAACCGAAGAATATTTGAATGAGATAAGGAAATTATATTTAATATTTAATTTAATTGATTTATAACGTTACACTTGCGAACTTTAAGAGCTTTAAGTGTGAGTTAGATGAAGGTGGAATCAAAACATGGAGAATGTTCCATGGCTACATCGCGCTTTAAATAAAGTGGTCATAAAATATATCTGACAATACACATAACTGATAAATTATCACCTAATTAATAACCTATAAAATAGTTTTAATATATTATAATATCAAGACGAATCAAGACCAACAATCGTTTTAATTAATAAAGTTTTAATAAACTTTGTATTAATAAAGTGGACATAACTTGTTGTCAGCAACGGCAGGGTCTCTAGCATAAGTGCTCTGATCAGTGATCCCAACAGTGTTGCCATCAGCAACGTTGGTGGGATATCGCATTATGTCTTGCGACATAAAATCACAAAAAAAAACCCTGTAGCCTTTCCACTGATGTTAAGTAAAATCTATTTGGAGGGTCTGCAGTCGTTGTGATTCCGTCATTGTTTATAGATGATCGTCTATAGATGATTTCGCAAGAGATTAAGGATATGCCCAAACAGATGCGGTACAGTAAGTTTGTGGTATATGGGACATCACATATAAATGCAGTACGGTACTGCAGTAGATTATTTTAAAGAAAATCGTATCGCATTCAAAACAATTATTGCTTACTGCTTAACATGGAAGAACTAATTAAAATTGTAGAATTGTATTTAAGGCGAAAGAAGTTTTTTCCAATAAAATTCAGTTCCTGTACATATGTCTTTTATAATTTTTGTTTTTAGATTATGGTAAAATGTATATAACAATTCTACAAATAAAGTAAGAAGAATTTTATTATTTTTATTATAATGCTGATATAAAGTACAAGGAACATTGACCGCATGTGTTTGTGTTACCTTGTTTATAACATTTCTTCAACAGATTTGGGATTACACGGTACTTCATCACATCTATTTGAGCATGACTTTGAATAAGTCGAGAAAAGGTTGCGGTTTGCAAGGCATTGTATTAGATATATGTCCTGATATCCAAATGAGTTGGTGATTCATCACCTTGACTCTATTTTACCTGTGGACAATATTAAGTCACACAAAGAATAACTGAATACGGGGGCTTTATGAAATGATGGATCTGATGTCTTTGTATCTGTCTGTGTTTATCATGTTTCACTGTGTTTTTAGGTTGTATTAGAAGTGGTACTTGTTAGTTCTTGTCCGCTATATCTTTTCCTGCTCCATAAACAATAACCCATTGAATACTTAAGTCGTTAAGACTGTCGATTTACATTTGGACACAGCTTGAACTATATTTACGTTGCTAACATATATCGAAGAAGTATATACATATAAGTATTAGTGGCTTTTAGTATATCTTGTGTGGTGATAATTCAACCTTTGCCAAAAATTTATCAGCAACATTTTCAGAACCGTCAGTACAACCTTCAATCAAAACAATTTAGCAAATCAGAGGTATTGTACTTAAATTCACGACATTATAAATTTCTAGTCATATTATCCCAGTACTATTGTGCATAAGTATGTATATTGAATAAGAATATTTACGCAGTTGAGAGGGTTTGAAAACAGTAACTTTGAAACCTTTTGTTAGCTGACGAGTATAGAGGCAATTTCGTCTGTGATTGTTTGCAGATTATGTTTTCCATAATTCTATGTTTTTTGTGTATTTTTAGACTATCTTCTGAAATCACCTGAGTTAACATATCTGTCACTAACAATTAGTAAACTAGTTTTATTTTGCATTTTAACATCAATTATGACGATAGTGACTATTTTACTTAATAGAAACTTTGGTATTTAATAGAGAGGTTTCGACGAGTAATGAACTACAAACTAGTTTTATACCTATATTTGAGTGATATACATATCTGAACACTACCTAGTATATAAATTCGATTGGATGGAAAAGGAGCGCACTTGTACAGAAACCTACCCATTCAAAAGCTTAATATTCAAGTAAAGTTACTCTGATAATACACATAACTTATAAATTATCATTGAATTAATAATCGTTGAAATATTTCCAATATATTATAAAAATACCAAGACGAATTGGAATCAACAATTTGGAACAATAACTTCTGTTCAAAAAGTACTAGGATTTTGTAAATAAAACACAAATTTAAATTTTATTCCAACTTTATTTTATCTTCTTCAAAATTTGCTCCTTCTGAAGCGACACACATATGCTAACGCTTAATCCAATCTTCCATACACTTTTCGTAGGCCCATGAAGGTATGGCTTTTAGTTCCTTCGGCGAATTCTCTTTCACCGATTCAATCGACTCAAAACGTTTACCAGGAAAGGGGCAATTTGAGTTTCGGGAACAGGAAAAAGTCGCACGGCGCCAGATCTCGCGAATATGGTGAATGAGCGATGACAGTGGTGTCGTGTTTGGTCAAAAAATCGCGTACAACAAGAATTTTCCATAATAAAAATCGCTAAATGCACTTGAGGTAGTCTCACATTAACATCTGCTGTAAACAAACCAATTGACAGATGGCGCTCAAAAAATAAAAAAAAATTTTTTGAAAAAGGTTTATTACTTAAGGAGTAGTTACCAAAAAACAAAATTCGGATACTTTTTGAGCAGAAGGTATACCCGCAGCCAAATGTATAAATTGAAATGATGAAAGGCGAAATCTTTTACGATTATCAACATAAAAGATTTTATAAAGACTTTATCTATCTTTTTCTGAGAGACCAGTTCTCTATTAACACGCAAATGCTACTGGAGAAAAGACACTTGATCGATTATCACTAATTGAGACTAAGAAAATATATATTGTAGTTTACATAGCCTTGAGGTTGGTTGTCCAGTCAACTACTTTTTTTATTGCTTTGGATCAGATGAAGTAATAAAAACATTGCTTATTTATGTTGGCAGCAGAAATAAAAGACTTCTATTACTATCTCGTTAGGTGGCGCTGTAAAATCATTAAATGGCTCGATAATTCAAGGGATCGTTCTTGTTCATTATATGCAAAGCAAATAACAGCTTAATTGATTATTAACAAAATTATATTTATTTATAAATTCATCTATTTGTATTTCATCTATTTGTATTTTAAAGACATTTGTTTAAGTTCCGTCTTATAGAAATTAGAATAAATATAAAAAAATAAGTGGATATATACACTTAAATTGAATAATAAGCATTTGCATGGATTTTCTGAACAATTAAAGTAATCAGTCCTTGGTAATTGGATCTACATCGAAACGAAGGGATCGAAACAATTATTCACAGCTAACCGTCGGCCGTTTTCAACTCACTATGAATGGGATTAATAATTAAGCATAAATAACAATATAAACTGCAAAATTTTATTTATTGAATTTCAATAAGCATTTAATATTGTAATTTGTTAAGATTCCAATGAACTGAATTATTCTGGCTACAGTCATTGCCTTCACTCCAATATTTGTTATGAGCTAAACGTCATTTGATTATAATACTTCAAATTTTTTTTACAATAATTTTTCCATTTTCCATTTTCATTATTGAGACAGCATTAACAAAATAATACTTTTTATATAAATAAATAATAATAAGCAAAACAATATTATTTATTATTGGGAGTAAAATATATAATTTAAAACTTATTTTAATTAAAAAGTTCAAGGAATGTATGTGTAAATTTTAATACTATTATTATAATTGTGCCATTATTTTATTGTAGTCAGAGTGTAAGAAATTGCACTTTATTTTTAAAGTTCTTTTTTTATTCCTCTATGCATTAACAATCATTAAACATTAATATTATTTTATGCAATGAGCAAATTTTCTAAATACTTTAATTGTACAGAATAAAGTGGTTTGTGTATATAATAAACAAATTGACAATATGGCGAATTCAAGAAAATCGTAAATAATACGGTCTTTAATTTGTGTGGAGAGCGTATTGTGTTTTAGTTGAAATTTTTGATTCATTTTTTATTTCATTGGATTCTACATTTATTTGTTATAAATAAATACTATGTTAAGACATAAGCAATTTTCGCATAGCGAGTTTGTGTTAACACTTTCACTTTCAAAATTTTATGAACGGCAAAATAATAGAACAAACTAAAAGCCATTTGTTTTTCGACAAGATTCGCCGCTATATTTTCTTATTCCTTAAAATGAAATTCCCTTACGTTTGTTCTAATATATAACAAAATTTTTGCTTGTTTCTTGAGTAATTTAATTAATTTATTAAAGAAAATAGATTTCATATAATAAATTGTTAATTCATTCGCATATACATTTTTGTTTAAAATTTGTATTTGCTTGAAGTTTGCTTCAAGCAAACTTTTTATTCTTTCTTTTAGTTTCAAGTTAATTCCCTTTTTAACATTTACTAATCGAACAGACTTGCAATTAATATTGTTTCATTGTGAATTACGAAAACTGATTTATTCGATACACAAACCATTTCTGACACTGTTCTGTAAAGGTATTAATCAAAGAATACCTTACAAGAACGGCAACTCCATTGTGAACTAAAATTTGTTTTTTCGCACAACAACAATTTGCCGTAGAGCTCTTGAAAGTGTTAGTGAAAAGTGCACTAACACCAGCTGAAATCCCTGAAATTTTTCACCTTTTCACCTTTTTCCGATGCTTCGAGTACTTTTGAGAACGAAATATTTCAAAAAGTTTACCATGA